CAGGTTTTCACTGAAGGTCGTGAATGCAGTTTGTAAAGCTTGAGTGTGTATTTGCTTTATGTGATCAACATAAAAGGCTGAATGCCAGCTACTGTGAAGAGAAGGAATTAGCCTAAAGTGATCTCTCTTTATAAAATTTTTCATTTAAAACAAAGAACTCTGAATGCAAGGCAAAGCCCTTTAGGAAAAAACAATTTCACAGGAAGCAATACTAACAGTGGCAAGTATGCTGACATTTTACTTTCAAACAGATAATATTATTTTGAGAACTGTATTTTTGCCTGTGAGAAGGCAGAAGTGTTGCCTTCTCAAAGCCATAAGAAAGTATAAACACACCACCCACTTCATTTGTATTCATGCTTTTGTCTGTTAACAGTAAAATGACACCAAGTGCGCTATGTTTGTGCTCTGTCTGCCAAGTGAAAGGTACAGCTTCCACATAAACAACACACCTGTATATGAGCAAGAGCCTGACAGATACATGTGTTGTTTTAAACTATCCAAAACCAGTTTCCAACTTTTCAACCATAAAATGAAATGTACATTTCTTTAGTATACTTCAATAGTATGCTGCATGACTAAAAGAAATACAGTACTGGAACTTAAAACATTCAAACTGAACACATGCTAATATAGCTGCAAGCCATAACAAACACATTTTCATTTCTTTAATACAAAGCTTGGCTATTTAATGCTACAGTAAGAAAATCATTGTGTAGTTAACACCAATCAAAAAAGGCTGACAAAGGTTACATAAAGCTGAAAGACAGTATTTAATTCTGATGGCACTTTAACGGGATGACAAACTTTTGCAGTACATACATGCAATATAAAAGTAAAGTTAAAAGGCTCAAATCCTGGAGGATGTACAGGCATATGTTTTCCAGGGAGCATTTTGATAATTTTTGGCCTTCACATTTACTTTTTTCAGGCTGTAGAGTATTTTTGCTGTAACTTACTGCTCATCTCCACAGCCTCCTACAAGACTGAACAGGCAGCACAACTCACTGCTAACCAGATTAGATGGGAGCACTCCACCAACCTCCTGCTCCCAACTTTCTTTCTCCTATCAGGATGCTGGGAGAATCTATCTAAGATAATTTCTGAATTTCAATCTTCATTGTGCAGTAGCAAATTTAGCTGAGCCATTTACCCTCAGTATCTGCTAGCTCTGCATGAGTCTCTGCTTTATGTCATTGAGCTGCAAACATTGAAGAAGGAAGACTGAAGATATTTTGATTACATTGTATTTTCCCAGAAACAGGTGATACAACATCCACACATTTAGATTGACTCCCGGACAGCCTTTGAATTGAGGCAAACAAAATCAGCCTTCAAAGAGCTGACATGCAGTAGAAATTCTCCAGCAATCTCAAAATCCCTCATAAACATGTGCTGTTCTACATGAACACTTTGGCCCAAAGGTGGTGCTTTTTGACATCCTATGCAGTCTCAATTCCATCAGTCATCTGCAAAGAGTTTAAATTAGCTCAAAATCTAGCCTTCTTCTTCCTGGTATTAAAACTTTAATCATGATCATAGTGTTCTAAAACTATCTTGTAATAGAAGACTTACTGGCTTTTTTTTATTTGTCACCTATTAGAATCCACCCTTACTGTTTCTACTTTGCTGTATTTACAAGTGTGGCATGATCCAGGCCTGTGATTTAGAGAAAAAGAGAAAATAAAAAATCTTACTTAAGATTTTAAAAACTCTTATTAAAATATCAAGTCATGAATTTCACATTCATGATCCGTTCTTTCATAGGGTCTTACAAGCAATTACAGAAGTCCCTTTTTATAAGTTATTTTGCATTTGCTGGTTATTTCCATATAATCTTTATTGGTATGCATTCTCTGTACTGTTGCCATGAGGATAAATAGAAGCACAGGAGCTATCAGTGTCTAAGTTGACACCAAAAGCGATCTTCTATCTGACCTATAGATTTAATTGGCTATAAATAAGCTGTGCAAGCAACCAGTACAAAACAGTATTTTCCTATGAAAAGACTATGGGCTGCAGAATACAACTGAGTAGAGTGAGATTTGTTTAACTAATTAAGTGTCACCACGCTGTGGACTGACTTCCTATTTTGCTGCAAATGGTTTGCTCTGCTCTGAAACATTATGCAAAAAAAAACCAAACCCTAGAGCTGCTTTCTCACTACCAAAACAAGTCATTGGCTGTCATTTCATTAGTTTTCTCTTTTACTTTGAGCCTAACTAGTACCTAGAGGAGTACTATTAGTAGTACTAGTACTACAAGGGGTACTACTACTCCCCCTTGCTGGGGGAACAAGATGAGATGGTCCACCAAGCACTGAGAATTTGTCTTTTATGGCATTTTTAGATCTTTGGGAATATTAGTTCATAGTGGCATCACAGTTGTGTGCAAGCCTGGAACTACCCTGCCTCTCATGCTTGTCAAGAAAAACATACTTTCTTGATGTAGTCTTAGTTTTCTCACAGTTGGTATGGAAACTAACTTCAACTCAAAATAATAACACAGAAGTGTCTTGGTAATTACATGCAAAAGACAAACATATAATACCTAATTTTTAAAAAAACTACCTCTCCTTAGCCCTTGGTAATGACAAGATTTCTCAAAATTCTTCATTTTTCTATACTCAGGATATCTAACTATCCTCTGTTGCCACACAAGTTGCAGGTGCTCGGTTTTTTCAGAACTGTGGTGTTTTCAGTCATGAGATCAGTGCAGAAATATGCAGGTTTACTTCAAGCCCAGATCCATAGCTGTGACCAAGAATCAGGCTCTTAGAAGAGGAAACATACTGCTTTGCATTTTCTCTTCTGACTTTCTTAGATAACAAGAAAGTACACCACATAACATGCATGTGCCTTTGTGTCCCCTTAGTTCATTCAGAGCGGCTCTGTGAATGACACTCTATGTACAGGACCTCATTTTGCTCTCATTGGTTACAAACAGGCCTAATTCCAATGAAAATACATCTGTACAACTAGAGTCACAGCTGATACATGGCTCATGGGGACCAATGCTAAAGTCTGCCTGAAATCTGATCCTACGCCGAAGAGCCTTGTGCCAAAGTCTTAAGCCACACAGGAAGAAGGGAGAAAAAAAATGGATGTGTAAATCTGCGTAAGATCCCTGGAAAGGGATCACAAAATTTGCTCCTGTAACTTAATTTTAAGGACTAAATAGTTTCAGAACTAATAAAAATATTTTTGCTCATGTTATTACAGTAGTACTAATGAAATGTCATGTTCCAGGGCATAGGCTGATTAAAAGAGGAGGCAGAAAGGAATTTTTCCTCCTTCTGATTGCTTAAATTCCAAAATTGTGGAGATGAATTTGGGGAAAGCACCATACACCTTTGAAGCATCAGGTATTGACTGGAATGAGACAGTGGACTTGGTGAATTACACATCAGCTCCATTACGACAAATCCTATGTCTCTATGTAAAAGCACAAGGCCCCAAGCAGTCACTTGTGTGGCTTGTATTTAAGGCTGGCCCTACAGATGGGGTTCTGAGAGAAAGACAGTATCAGTTCTCTTGAAAAAAAAAATGCTGATATTAAAATAAACATTTACAAGGGGAACAAACTATTTAAAGTGCCAGAATAAAATCTCTTCAGGTCTCTAATTTTTACACTTAAAACGTAATAAACTCCCACAGTAAGAGATAACTGGACACGTTTTTTTCGCTGTGTTCACAAGAATTACTAATCTATCAGTCTGGTATGAAAGTCCATTAAAAGTGATACCAAATAGGTCACCTCAAGCAAGTATTTAAATCCTACAATAGTCAGTGGCACACCTTCAAAATACTTTAAGTTCCAAACTACAAATTTTTATGATAGTCATAAGTAACAATGAATTTAACAAGGACTATTACTGCCTTGCTAGAGCACACACCTGTGCTTTCTTAAGTAAATGTCAATAAAGTCCTGGGAATTGCTGGAGTATTGGTAGTTTATGACTGTTCTGTCCAACTTTTGCATTGTGGTTAGAAAATTTGGTTTACTGCAAGGACGTATTTAAAAGGATGCTGTGTGAGACTGGCACATCCTAAGATTATTGCTGTTTTCTAAAATTGTAAGTAAGCACCAATTAATGAAACTGTTTTCAAGTAACACCTAACCTCAATATTCTGCAAAATTCACCACTTAGGTTGCATTAAACATCCTATCAAGATAAACTGCATCATTTGATATCTGTGGAAAACATTCTAGACGCAATAATTCTATCTCCATCTACAGGATTACAGCATGGGTTCCTCGGTGCTCTGCAAATTTTGCCAAATGAGTATGATCCTGTACTGCATGCACTTTTTTTTTTTTAAATCAGAAGGGTTGAATTAGTTTCTAAAATTATAAATAAGCCTTCTATAATCCTAAAAACCACACTGAACACAAACTCCATTTGGAGTGACAATTGCCATTCACATTATTGCGAGATTTGAGGTATTCTTGAAGAGAAAAGGCACCAGTAAAGTTGCTGGATCTGGATGTACTGAATCACAGGAACATGTTCAGTTAATGCCCTATTGAAGAAAAAGACACATTTCAGTATAACTATTTTTTTCTAAATCTCTAAATTGGCTTGGCTTCAAGATGGGCACACATTCATACTGTTTGAAATCCCTCACTTCACCTTCGCCACTTAGCTATCTCTTTGAATTTTGAAAGGCATGGAGCTAGCAGGCATGCAGCTAACTGTCTCTTGTGTGGGGAAGAGAACAAGTTTTACCTACTATAGAACTGGCCACAATAAAGGCAGCCAGCAGAGAGAACTCATGACACTGGTCTGAGTAGAGTGAAAAACAAGCTCTCCTCCAAGTAGAAATTTCAGCCTTTTTCAACACACACAGAAAAGAAAGGGGCTACCCACTTTAAAAATAAGACTTGGGCAAGTATTTTAGAGTCAAAGATCTTCAGCATGTTATTTTGTCTTTTTGCTCAGTCGTTCAAGGGCTTCATGTGAAAACCATGAGTCATTATGAACTAATATGCCCACTTACTTGGGCTTCCGCTCCTCAGTGGTGAAGGACTGCGGCTTCGAGACAACTGCAAGACAAACAGAAAAGGAAACTCAGGTGTGCTAAAGAACTGTACCCAAGAAAGGCACCTGGGGACCCACCAACATTCAGATAATTTGCACGTTACTCTATCGGTGCAGCTTCACTGCTACAAAGTCAAATTCAACAACCTCCTAGTTTCTCTTTCACACCTGCACACACACAAAAAAGTGAGTCTTACCCAAAGACTCTCACATTTTCAATATTCACATTTTAAGTTGAGGGCATCTATGTCAATTTAATAAGATGGGCTAACAATTAGAAAAATACACATGATTTTTACAGAAAAAATTAAAAATATTGTTTAACTATACCATATGTAGAACTCTGCTAAGGTTTCACATAACTTATTAGTACCCCTTCTTCCCCTCCTGCCCACCCCACACTGATTTTCTGCTCCTTTGAGGCATTAGAAGGTAAATTTAGACTACTAATTCCAGAAGGCAGGGACCATGTGTGGTATATGTATACGCAATTAGTTATTCAGAAGTATACTGAAGCAAGGCAAAGTAGGGAGAAAGCCTTCTGAGATCCACAGTTGATACTTCTGAGAATTTAACCATGATCTACTTCTCATACAGTATCTCCACTGACAAATATATCAGGCAATAACTCTGTCAGTTCAGCTTCACATCATTCCAGACCCAGCAAAGGCATTTATTCCCAATGTTAAAATGTACGTGTGGCACATTGGCATTTTTAAAAGGTTGCCTACATTCTGAGTTTAAAATACTTGATGCTGTTTATACTACAAGCATTCAGCTGGGGCTTACATGATGAGATAGAAGAGGACTGGTGCTACGGCTGCGGCTTCTGCTTCTACTTCTACTTCTGTGAGACCACTACAAGAGAAGAGTTTGACAAACCTCTTTTGAGAGAGGGCATTTAATAAAGACAGACTCGGCAAGCAGACTTGCCATACTGGAGACAAGGCTTCAGGACAGAGAGTAAACACAGTAAATTTTCTCCTTAGAACAGGCTCTGCCAACAATCATACATTTGCATAATGAAAACATTAATGCAAATGTAACTATTCATTCTAAATACAGGATGAGGCACTAAAACCTAACTGATATTTGATATACACAACATATAGGGAACAATCAAGGATTTCTCTTTTTAAATTTTAAAACAGTGTTTAAATCCAATGACTTCCCTTAACATGTTCCTTAAAAAAAACACGTACCAGAGCTCCTCTTTTTGTGACTGCCTCTCCCTTCACAATTACAACATCATTTTCCATCAGTGCAGGCCATACATGATAGGCCACCAAGGCAGCTGTGAAATCAGAGTGAAAACTACGATGGTACCTGTTGAAACACAGAGTACAAGAAATGTCTGCATATAAGTGCCAAAAGATAAATATGATGCGTCAAGTCATCAATGCTGATAAAAAGCAGAACGCTAGTTACAGCTCATAAACATCTTTCTTGACAATATTTCCGTATCCCAAAAATAAGCATTCTTTAAGTGAACCTGTAAAAGAAATGCATTTGTAAGACAGACTTAGCAGAATATCCTGTCTTCTTATGCTGTCTACTTATACTGAGAGGCACTCCAATAAAGCCACCTCACACTTCAGAAGGCCACTAGACCATATTCTTGCACAAGCCCCACACAAGCCAGGGTCCTTGAGTCCACTGACAAATTAAATCTCCTGAGCAGCATTTTGGCAGGAATAGTCATCCCATCTTCCTGAAATATCTTGCTAAAGCAAGACCCCTATAAAGGACATTACAGAAATACTCTATCTCAACTATAAAGTTACATCCTAGTATTTTATGAAACATAAGAGGCAATTTTATCAGCAAGATCCTCAGATACTGATAATGAAACAGTGACTTTTTAGGTAAGAAAAATTATTTTGAAGGCCTGTATTAACATACGAGCTATATATTACCTCCCTAAGTCTGCAATATTGGCTGAATAATACATGTCTGGTTTTGTGGATTCAAACTCAAAAAAAATACCAAGTAACTGAAATAAAAAATAGCAATGCATCTATGCATTAGTAATGTATATACAATAGCAATTTATATAAAACAATGTTGTAAACAGAGGCATGAAGCTCTGCATGGAGGGAGGTATAGGGTACAATGAGGTTTGGCCAGCCCTTTTATAGAATGTATCACACATAACTAATAGAGCTATTTTAATTTCTACAAATTTTGCTCCATCTCTGTCTACCACTATATATGCTATACATGTAAACATATATATGTCACATATTTATCTATACAGATGGATAGATGTGTGTATATATGTCTCCTGCAGCAGCACATATAAACACATTACACCTGTTTTTTGAAGGCCACACACATCAAGTAGGTGGAGAAAGCATCCCAAGACTATACCATAGCATTGCTGCCTTCTTAATTCAGCCAATACCTTTGGGTATCAAATAGCTAAGTGCCCGGTATTTGGACAGGATCATTAAGCAGTCCTGTATGACTTTGCACTCTCCTGTTGAAGGGCTACTTTTATCTTCTCTATTTCTCTCCTTGGCTTCTCAAGCTATTCCCCATCTGGGTTCCATTCTATTTCAAATTATTATTAGAAACCTCCTTATTGGTGTGGCTTTTCATGCTTTTGAGAGCAAATTTTTGGAGCTATCAATCCCATTAGTTTTCTTGGCATGGAAGGCATGGAAGTACCCTACAGTTCTCTGCTAGCTAACAAAGCAGCCAGCCCTGACTCTACGGAAAAAGAACAACTATGTTATGGTGTGCATTTTTTAAACAAAATTCCCATTTTTAAAAGGCATTTTTCTTTTTGCTCAGCTCTAAGCCAGAAGAGATGGGAGTGTATTAAGATCCATATGTTGTACAGCAGCCACAGCCTGGAGGTCACAGCACACATGTTGATGATCTTGGTATCGGGCACCAACTGCCAGATCTCAGTAAACATGACTTTTACAAAACGGGCCAGAAAGGAGGAACAAAGATGCACAGATTTTATAAACACTGGAGGCACTTAGAGACTAAACAGGGAAGGGAAAGCTGATGATAATTTTCCTCTTAAAGGATAAATTAAATATGCTCTAGAGACTGAAGTTTATCCAGAAAATTGCTCTGCTGTTCATTAAAAAAAGCTGTTACACTGGTCTACATCCTGGCATTTATATACCATCATAAACCTTAAAGACATATCAAATTCACTACACCACCAGGAATATTTGCCCCAAATTAATGTTTAGCATCAATCTTAAACCTTTATATTAATTAGGAAAGAAGTAGACTATACAACCTGATGTATTTTTAATAGTAAGAATCTGACTGAAAAGAAAGAGTTCTTACTTGGTCTCACTGAAAAGTTCTCCATCAGTACCAAAGGCAATATCAAGAGGAGGAGTGAGTGTCTGCATTGAAAAAGCCACACGGCACAACTCTCGAATCAAAGTGCTGATCACAATGAAATCAATTTCTGGTGGAAACGAAATCTTTGGGTTGATGTTCATGGAGTGAATTACTTCCTGAAAATAAACACAATTGAGTAATTTGAGCTCACTAACACTTTTATTCATGGGCAAGTACGGAAATCCCTCCTAAATATGCCTCCTAGCTTGCTACATTTAAAAATCAGCATAAGAAGCTCCCAGCAATGTTGTCTTAGGCTATTCCAGAAAATATTAGCTTCAGAAAGAACGTGCTGTTATTTTAGAAATAAAGTATGAGCTATACCCTTGACATCAATCTTAGGAGGGAGATGCAGTTTTTCAGCAGAGCACAGAATTTAAGAAAAATATGAAATTTAGCTTACATTGATTAAGGCAGTTACACTGTATCTTGCCAAAAATATTTTTCTGGCAGACAGAAAGATTCTAATCACAGGCAAATAAAACAAGTGGGCCATACCACAATATTATCTTGGAAAATAAACTCCTACAAGACATAAAATCCATGTGATAAACTTTTTTCCTTCTTCAGGTTACATTTCTAGTTTACACACTCCAAATTTATTAGCTACTGAAATAGATCAACACGTCACTTCCCCACTGCCCTTGACTTACATTGACACTGGCTTGAACATCATACAGATCCTCATGGCGAACTATATAATCCAGGACAGTGTCTTCAAGTGACTCAGGCCCCGAGTGACCTAGAGACAGAGTCTCTCTTACACGTATTTTGAACTGCCTGTAGGCCATTTTTGCTGCATGAAAAGACTCCTGCAAACATAAAGAACATCTAGCTAAATCCAGGAGACTGAGATTAATTTTTTATCAATTATCTGACAAGATGAACTTAACCCAGTATCATCATTGTAAGGAGGAATATAAAATGCTGCTGTAAAAGTGAAAGTTAGAAATAGTACTTATCTGGGAGGACTTCTCTGATTAAATCAAGTGTGATTTATTTGCAGAAGACAGGATAGAAAAGCTTCCCACCTAACCTTCTATTTTCATGTAGGATTCCATCACACACCCACGACCAATGGAATCACGTTCAAAGATATCAAGAGCAGAATTCAGTAATAGCATTTTACGTGCCGCAGCCTAGCATGTCAGACAGGAGCACCTCTTGTCTGTTGGGAAGAAAGGTTGAATTGGAGAGTGTAAACTGAATGACAGTTGTGGGAAAAAAACTTCAGTAAGTTAAATGTGCTTGGGATCACACACATGAAGAGACACACTGCCTCTCTGACATAGGTACATACTACATCTATTTTACAGAAAAGAAGATTAAATACAGAAAAATGAAAACAAATTTTTCCAGACTGAGCTCATAGTAAACATGAGGTATCTAGGTAATTTCAAGGGACCCAATAAAACTAGAAAAGCACATAGCTACAGGCAAGAGGGAAGCATAATGTGGAAAGATTTTGAGCTTTCTAAAATGTAGTATTCCCAAAAGAATTCATCTAAATGAGGTGGTGTTTTTTAGTGCAGGAATCATGTACCTTTCAGAGCCATTCAGTCTTCTTATGCAGCCCTTTTTAGCACCTGCACTGTAGATCACTGACCCTGTTCTAATGTTGGGACAGGACAGTCAGAAAAGGACACTAAACTGAGAGTTCAATGTGTGGGGGAAAGAAAGGAAAATCAAAAGGGAAAAAAGAAAAGTTTTCTTCTCAGTACTTCACAGAAATGCTAATTTACACAAAATTTAATCCAATCCAGCCATAATACTTTATAAAACACTTCTGGCCTGTAAAACAAGAAATATTATTTTTTTCTTACCACAGCTGCAATGTATATTATCCTCTGCACCATCTCCATGTCACTAATGTAGGTCCTCAAAAGGGTCTCTGCATCCAAGCGTTCTTGAGCATAAATGTCACCAAAGCGAGCTACCAGGTAGGCACGACGCGAAGCGTTTGTACGTCTGGCTCGGCCAGGTGAGCAGCTCCTCAGGGGAAGTGGGCTAGGTGACTTGCTCTCACTGTGCCTTGGGGAGGGAGAGCGGCTCCGTGCAAGCCTATGACAGACGTGTAAAGAAGCACGAGGTCACTTCACCATCCTCAGATGCTCTTGCCTAGTGCACAGAGTTTTGTCAATTTAATTATTACCAGGGTAAGCTGAGATTTTGAGCTAACATAACTAAAGAAGTAGAGCTGCAGCTGGTTAATCTAATATGAAGGCATTTGTGTCAATACATTTTATGGGCTAGAGCCCGAACAATAAAATTAAATTCCTATAGTGTGTACAGCCAAGCACTTTGTTCTGAGGAAACATACTTTTAACTAGTAATACTTTGGAGATTTGTTCCTCTTTCAGTACCATTGAAGAGTTGTAAAGTCAAGCAAGTGAGAATATAACAACAGGTTCTGCCCTGTAATGGTACAGTATTCAAAGAGGACTTATAAACAAAAAACCTAACCATCTCTTTTTATCCCGTACAGTTGCTCTCAATGTATTTTGTAAAGCTGCTCTCTTTGCTGTTTTGCCAGAAACTTAACATAGCTGCCTGAAATTAAAACATTTGGGCACTAGGAGAAATCAGTTAAAGAGCTTATGCTCCTTCATAACAAAGTCCAAAAGCTTAGCTTTTGTTTATATTTCAACTAACATGAACAATTTCTCTGATTCAGTGACTTATCTGAATAACGCCTCTACCTGTTCTGGAGAACAGACTTTTGGGCATCCAGGATAGAAATCTCATCCCGCAGTATTTCAATCTGCTGCTCATAGTCATTCAGACGATCTAACTTCCTCAGGGCATCCTTCTCTTGGGCACGGGAATTCTTCAGACTTAACCACACAGAATAAAGTCAGTCACAAGATGTCTTTTTACCAATGCAAACCACCTATCAATTAATCCTCATCATCAAACAAAAAGAACAGAAAAAGAGGAGAAATATTGAGCAAGCTCCTTATGCTGAAATACAGGGAAATCAAGAGTTTAGAAAAAGCATACTCCAAAGCATACTCTTAATTACACTTTAAAATGTAAAAGTGTACTGTGGCAGAAGACTGGATACACTACACTTTATGTTAGAGGAGAGATCACTGGATAACGTTTGGTGGCGTTGCACTAGCTCAGATGATGAGGTCTAAGAAAGAAACTGGTTTCTTTCTCATATTTGTTAACTAAACCAGCTTAGTTTTCTTTCCTACAGTTTAAGACTCTAGATATTTTCTTATATCAGGTCCTCGGGTTCTTTTCTTTGCTGGAATATATTAGTCAGTCAAAGGATATAACCAATGATGTTATTCAAGTAACATCAAAAGCTAATGATTCCTCTCCTGCTCTCCCCAAGAGAAGCAGTATTTCTTAAACATTGGCAGACAACCAGTTAAGCAAGTTTATCTTCTGTCCTTTACATTTACTTAATGTTAGAAAGTATCCCAACACCTCTCCTTTCCCTCCTAACACAGATATTTCTGTTGTTTTCCTCTTTCCAAAAGGGAAAAAAAAAAAAAAAAAAAAAAAGATGCTCTCTATTTGTTTTGGAGGCAGTCAGTCTGTCCTTTATTTTCTTTACTGAAGGACCCTGGCGAGATTTTTGAGGATCTGAACCAATGAAAGCTGTAACACCTATCAATTGACAAGCTTCCTGTTCAGACTTTTTAAGGAGCAGGCTGACTGAGAGGACCACAAGTAATAAGGCCAGCACATCTGCTAAGAGGAAAGACTGTCCTTCTAACCTGGGTAGGAAAAGCTGCGAATACCATTACAATCCCATGGACATCCTTAGTCAGCTCCTCCAGCAAGGACTTCTAGAAGAGTAGTAGTAAAAGAAGGCTAAAGAATTCTAATATAAAGAACAACTGGGAGAGGAAAGTAGGTTTGGAAAGACGAATTATAGAGATAGAGATGGGGGAAAATCATTATGTACCAAAAAAAAAAAAGAAAAAAAAAAAGGTGAGAAAAACCCCTGTATAATATACAACACACTAGTCCAGCTTTCCTTAAGTTGCCATGATAGACAATGCAGACAGACAATGCAGTGTAACAACTATCCAACAGAAAGGATAAATAAAAAGTAATCATTTCACTTCTGTATTCTTTTCTTTTTGTTATTTACTTCTATTCACATGGGATTTTTCAGAAAGTTTTAAAGCAATTTTTGATGGTCTTTATCTCACTGCTGAGAGATCCACGAAGCTTCATCATGACCACAGATAATTATTACAAATACAAACAGATGCTTAATTTAAAGGTCTCCCTTTATCAGGAGAGGGGAGGAAAAAAAAGAAATTAAAATGGAGAGCACATGACAGACTGAAACCAGCAGAAATACCTGCATCTTTCATTGTTCATTACAAGTCACACGGTAGTCACAAACATAAGAAAAGCCACCACTGAAAATGAATGTTTCTTTCTTTGTAAGAAAAACTAAATACTAAAGGGAAAGAAACAACTTTAACACATTTATGAATTACCAATGCTGACTTTTGTAAGCCTTAACACTAATCTTTCCATGCTAATTAAATCTATGCAGTATTCAGAGTTTCCCCTGTTTTATTGTTCATTCACTCTACTGCTAAATATTAATCTGAAATTAAGAGAGTATTATCATCTTTCTGTTAAGGTTAAAGAGATGTAGGTGCTACAAAAAAAAAATAATGGGAACTAACAAGGCAAAATATAATCCTTAGAAAAATCAGAACAGTTCTCATAACCCACTTTTATTTTAAGGCTATAACTAGTGTTTTAAACTCCACCATCTAACCATTTAAAAATAAAATAGGCATCTTCAACCAGTTTCTCAGAAGAAAATACAACAGCCTTGAGAATTTATGTCAAGTATCTCCTTAATGCTGTTTGGGTAAAGCTCACTGCTACCCTCCAGTTTCAAACAATTCACAGTTCCCCCAGTCCTTGGGCTAAGCCCAACTCATTCCGTCAGATTGCCTTGAAATTCAAGGCAAGAACAACTCCACCTATGTAATTTTTGGCCCGATGCCTGTTTAAGCTATTTTTAAGAGCCCCCTGCACCAGCAACACTACAAGGTCTTGAGGTAACTGATTCAAGCTACCATATTGGCTGTTATTAATTACAACCATGTTTATCAAAGCTTCTTCCTGCCAATCTATATAACAAGTCCTCTGTACAGCAGATCAAGAAAGAAAAGTCCTCTTGACCTCATTTACTTCAAAGTGAGTCATCTGGCTTTGTTAAGTTTGATTAGACCTTGGCACGAGTCTAAGCACCCAAGTAGTAAGCTTCCATTTATAACAGTACTAATAGGATTTTGATCAGTCTGCATACAACAGCAGTTTTTAATACACTTTATTTTTTGTCTTCCCCTGAAGAACTTCCAATTACTTTTAAATGTTGATTGTTATTCATTTTTAAAAATTGTATTTTCCTTCATAATTCTGCAGCAAATAGCTACATCCTGTTATAATTAATATCTTGATATAATAAAAGCTTATACTGGCTATAGATTTTAATTATATTGAGCCTAGACCACATTTGCTCTAACAGCCCAGAAGACCAAGATGTCTTGTAAAACATGCTTTGATTTAAGTACGCAAGACAGACAGACTATAGACAAGAGGAATGAGGTCATCAGCTGTTTCAAAAGTCTCAAAAAACAAGTTTACAGACAAAAATGCAAAGGACACTCCTGGCAAACTGTTCCTTGTGTAAAAAAAAAATCCTGCCCTAAGTGTCACAGATCAGTCCTGACCTCGCTTCCTCTACTTTTAGAAGGATTCTGGTTTTGACAGGCAGGTGAAGACTGATTTCACCCAACTAAAAGGGTTCAAATTTTGAAAAGATGATTCACAGAACATGAAAAATAGCACCTTTGCTTCAATCAAAAGTTGAACACCCAGGCAGAAGATGCAAATGTAGAGTGCCAACTGAACTGAGAGTGAACATGAACCATAAGTAGGTGGATATTACGGAATTCCTGAATTCATGGAAAAACAGGAATGTTTTATTCTTCTGTCATTAGTACAAATGGCAATATGAATTTCTGTCCAGTCTGCATTAAGACCTACACATGGGAATTGTGAGATGCTTTATTCCCTACTAATAGTTTTAATCAGGAAGACAGCAGTCAGGTTATATCTAAGAATCAAGGAGTTATATGAGCTACTTTTCACCCAACAAATCGAAAGAGCCCATTTTATGGGAATATAAGTTTATACCCCAGGTAGCCATCCAAAAAATTAAAATCCAAAGTAATCAATGCTTGCTAGGAAAGTCCATGGATGAAATCTGACAATTTACATTATTCTAGAAGCAATGATAAACATCCAGAAACGAACAAGTAATACTCAACTTGATATTGGAAGTAGAAACTCTAATGGCCTGAGGTTTTTTTGTTTGCTTATCTTTATCAGGAGTAGCTAATCCTCTCAGTTGCACTAAAAGGAAAGATAAAACTCATGGACAGTTATATCCTTTCCTACAGTGTAAGCAGCAAAGTCAAGTTTCCTCCATTTCTAAGAGCAGCAATGTTATTATACTGAAAGGCTGCAAGCATTTATTTAACACGCATGATTATATTTCTGTTGTTGAAATGTCGGTTATCACAAGAATTCACATGCTGTTGGAATGAATTTCAACTACCTTTGTATTCTTTTCTGATAATATAACACACAAAAAAAGGAAAAAAAAAAGACATGGGCTACATCTCATAACAGTCAAGAATTATTACTGTTTCTAGAACTGCCTGTAGGTCAAGCCACAAAAGGAAATTAGTTTTAAGGACCCCTGTATTGAAATGGAAATGTTAGTCCCCCAGCTGCACCCTTACTGATCCAGGTTAACTTCCCAGATGTGACCAACACACTTAGAAACTCAAAAGACATTTTTAAACCAGACACGTCGACATTACCACTAGCCACTACTTCTGTACAGACAGGCAAAAGGATTTGGCAAAAATGATCTAAAAGAAAAAGCTAAATAAAGAACTTTATCTTAAGACAGACAGACTGAAGTGTCTTTTTTCTTTAACACACATGCTACTTCAAGAGCATCATAGCAAATTGCAAACAACGGTTTCCAGCTATATTCAGAATATGGTTCTCTCCTATTTAACTTCATCTACAAGATTCAAATGCTATCAAGCTGCTAGTTTCAAAGTAATCCTTCCTCTATCCTAAAGAAAAAAGGATGGAAGTTCAGCCACAAGGGTTCTTCTCACAGGGATCTACTTATGCTAATTCCCTCTCTATAACACCAAGAAACAAAGCTACAGGACGTTAAGCAGCTAGCCCTATTTTTTGCTATAGCATAGGACAGTGTAGAATAAGCAGAACCCCCTCAGGTAAACGACAGACTGTGTCTCTGCATGCTGACTTTCTGCCACAAATACCCCAAGATTCAATTTTTCTTACGCTGCTTTTAGCTGAACAATTTCGTCTTCTGCTGCCAAAAGAGTAGTGGCTGATTTGGTCTTTGTGTCTTCAAGAGCCAACTGGGCTTTTGCCAGACTGCAAGAAAAATTAATAACCTTCATGGTAAAGGCAGAGATTCTACCAGAGAATTTAATATGACAAACTGACTGTTTTAAGCAGACCACGTCCATACCAATTTAACATATGAAAACAATCACAGTGGGCTTTATGCAGACTATCAGCACACAAATAGCTTATAAAAAGTCATATCTGACTATGCAATAACAGAATTATTTTGCTACGACGCATTATTTTCATGAAGACTCAATTCCAGTTTCTTCATCGATTTCAACAACTTACAGCGTTCAGAATGACTTCACTGTCCATAGATGGGGTATCTTGGGACATGAATTCTCTTTCTCCTGCACCTGTCCCTTACCTGCCAATAACTACACAATCATGACTCCGCACTGCATCACCTTGAAAGGAGCAGTTCTGAAACTTTCACGCATGACTTCATCTCTGCTTGAATTACCTCTTCCCAACCCTCCACCTTCCAGACTTCTACCTTTGCAAACCACAGCCAACACCTCTCTGACCTGACTGCACAGAGAAACGCAACCCACAAAACTGTACAAAAGCTTTACCACCAATTTCACACTTCCTGCAGGAGCTAGCCAAAAATTACTTTTTCTTGTACTGCAAACTGCCACACACACACTCCTATCTGTATTAGTGAATAACTTTCCTTGTACTTCTCACCTTGACCACCCAACGCTTTTCTCCAGCTCATCAAATAATCTCTTTCTATCTGCACAGGAGCACAGGATGAAAAGCCTCACCCCTAAACCAACCTTTATATATACCTGACCCACAGAATTGTTGAGGTTAGTATGCTGGTTTTGGCTGGG